CCTAACTACATCCTTGTTTTTCTAACCATAGAGAAACTGATCTGAAAGGTTGAATTTTCTAAGATTCTATAAATGGAAAATGGAGTAATTTCTGTAAATGCTTAATTGGAATATGAATAGGTTTCACAATTTATCATTATTTCAGGTGGGCTTTCAGAAGAACCAGTTTCCATGTGTCCAAATCAAAATATTTATGATTCTAGAAAGTAAATATATTTCTGTGGCATCAAGTACAAATACAAGCACACTGTGAAAATCACTTGGTGAGTTACATCTCTTTTTATTCACTCTGAACCTATGATGGCTGAACCCAATTTATTTATATACTGCAAAATTTTTTTAGATCTACTATTCTGAATGGGAGTGCAACTCTACTTCTAATGAAAATAATTCACTTGAGCAGGGGACTGCAATAGATTGTTGATAGTTGTTGCTAAAGACAGTTGTGTCGTTGGGATTCCTATAAGGTTGTGTTTATGTAGTGTGCAACACTGTATTTTGGTAGTAAAACCATCAAGTTGTCTCAGACAATCCCTTAGGAATAATCACTTGCTAGGAAAAATAGTGGGAGTTCATTGGTCTAGAACACAGATTAGGTGACTAAAGCTTTACTTCAAAGGAAGTTTTACTTTAAAATCGTAATTTACTTGTGAGCCCTTGAGGGTCAAGACAGTCTGTTAGCAGTGGTAACAAAAGAGAAGCCCTAGGGAATCAAACCACTGGTCCATTTAGCTCAGTCTTCAGTGTCTCAGAGCGGCAATAGGAGATGCTATTTAGGGAGGGCATGTGGACTCGGAGCCTTTTTCTGTGTTCCACTCCTCTCACGCATCCCAAGTATCTAAGACTGTGGGATTAGAGATGGTAGAGGATACATCTCTTTAGGACCTCTTTATGCAACTGATGTCCACATATCTGTCTGATCCTTTGTTTAAACCTGCTGTGGTCTCTGTAGGAATAATCTCCAGGAGTTTGCTATTGGCTGTGTAAAGAGTACTTTCTATTATCTGTTAATACGTGTTTAAAGCACCACAAGCTCATGTGCAATATATATGCTACTACATCTCAATATCCAATTCCACTGACAAGTGTTCTGACTTTCTGACAGGTCTCCAATCAACATGAGTGATACTCTGCCCAAGGCCAGCGTCCTGCAAAGTCAGAGGGAAACACATACTCTTGGTTGATTATTGCTAGAATATGGAAGTCCTGAGGTGTTTCATCAGGGAACTTGGTCAAAAGCTAAGAGCTATGTTTCTTGAGTGATATAAAGCAGAATGGTCAGTGTAGGGTAATGTGGAGGAGAGAAAATATGCAGCTGTAACTTTAATTTGCTAGTTAAAAGCATTCTGAATCAGTATCAAGGCTCTGTCTAATCTCCTTCCTCCACTCATGTTGCAACAGAGGGTTGCCTAAGTGAGCTATGTTGGCTCTTTGCCACTCAATATTTCCCTGCACCAGGGAAACCCCCAACTGGCTTTTAAAGCCATTTTTCTGGCCCCAGGATAGTGCTAGAGGTGGTAGAAGCACCTCACCACCTTCTTCAGGAATTTGAAGTTAAAGATGGGGGGAAGGGGACCACAGAAGACAACCTAGGCAAACCCATGGCAAAGCAGTCCTTCCAAATTATTACTTAGTGCCTCCCTCTTACTGTACTATGTTCTTTTCTTCTTTCTCTTTCTCTCTTTCTCTCTTTCTTTCTCTCTTTCTCTCTTTCTCTCTTTCTCTCTTTCTCTCTTTCTTTCTTTCTTTCTTTCTTTCTTTCTTTCTTTCTTTCTTTCTTTCTTTCTCTCTTTCTCTCTTTCTCTCTTTCTCTCTTTCTCTCTTTCTCTCTT